GCTGATCTAAATGGTTTCAGAGGCTATTTATGCACAGATTTATAACCAGGATTCTATTTAAGATGGTCTGTCTTCATCATACACAAAGAAAATAAGAACTGTTGGTACTCTCCATCTTTAAAAAGGGGATGAGGCACAGAAGACTGAGAAAGAATGCTATTATACAGCAAGGTTCAAGAAAGCCCAGGTGCCTGGTCACCACGGCACCTAGAAATTTCATTGTGGAACACAGCAATTTCAGCAGTCATTTTATTGTAGTATCTCTCAGTGATCCTCAGTAGTCATACAAAGCTTATTTATTATTTTACATTAGAATGTTCTGTTCTATGACATAAAAATACATTTAAGAGAAGTTCTTGTCATTGCCTGTTTACATGTTGAATTTAACTGCCCTGAACATTGTAACGTTATTTCTTAGCTAGTTGCTTTCTATGCTGGATACAGTATCCAATTCCACTGAGCTTTTTAAAGCTACAATGAAATTATGACAAGGTGGGTAGAGGTATGGTTAGGGTTACAGCTCTACAAGAGTTTAGGATTAGGTTTTGTGGTAGCAATGAGGTGTGAAGGCCCTTAAGCTTTTTTCCCCAAAGAGAAAATTGGGAAGTGTTGAAGAGCACTGAAAAAGATCACCTATGAATTATTTTTTTCTTTTGGAATGAGTAAAATGCTTTCTAAGACAAGATTTTATTCAACGTTTTATGGGAATTTGCATGTGAAATAGTCTACAGCATTAGATAGTGACAACAATTCATATGTTCCTGTAGACATACACAAATGTGAATAATTTGACAAAAATTAATATGCTATAATGTGTTATGAGACAGTTCAGTGTTTTCAATTAATAATATCCAAATATGCTGGTAGTCCTATCTATTGTGACTGCATGAGAACGTTTCTATCATCCTCTTCCTTAATAGGAAAGTAAGTACTGGATGTATTTCAGTTTTTCTCAAAATTTAAAAAAAAACCCCGAAAAAAGGATTTCCCCCCTACAGCTTCAAAATTTCTGGAAATTTTACATCTCTAGTAATAAGTAGAAAATATGGTCATTAAATACAAAACCCTGAACAAGTTTGGCTCCTAAATGTTTTGGCTGGTTCTGAAAGTCAAAGAAAATTCATCAAAGCCTGTTATTTATTTATTTTAAATTACAATCTGATGACCCAATAGTCTTGGACAACACAAATCACTTTAGTGGTACACTCTGTTTCCACCCTCACAGAGCAGCCAATGCAACCAAAAATTTTGCTATAGCCACCATAATACCAAAATCAGTATCAGCTGGTAAAAATAGCAGGAGAGGAGAAAAAGCATCAGAAGCTATTAGCAACCAAATCCAGAGATCTCTCAGGGGCCACCATTCACAATAATTTTTTAAAAAGATGTGAGAGAACATTTCAATCATGCCGGATCGACAAGGGTACAATCTATCTGAACAGGCTATTCCTCAGAATCTACCCAACAAACAGCAGAAGGAAGAACATTTAATCTACCCAAGAGAAAAGCCCTCTAATATTTAGGAATGGTCAATTGATAAAAATAGAATGGAAGAGTAAAACGAGGCACATTGCCAAAAAAGAACATTCACCATGTCATGGCCTATTCTATAGTACAGATCTCTGTATATTAGTCCATCCACACATTTAAAATTTGATTGCTATAGAGACTGCCAAGATTACTTTTATGTAGTTGTGAACCCCACTGTTTGCAATGGTTAGAGATCATTCCTTTCAAGGAGTTTCTCCAAACTGCCTTTAACATAACAAGAGTCTGATAGCAGTTTCCCCTCTTTTTCATTTCTTTCACCCCAAAGTATAGCAAAATACATCAGCTAGCAAGATGATCAATTTATATTCTTTTTTCCCAAAAAACTTTTCTTCAATTTTGAGAGTAGCACTGGAAGAAGCACACACACACCCCCGCCTCCAAATGCCTGACCAGGGTTGGTATGCACATGCTAGAGCCTAAACGTTTTATTATGGCACCTACGACATCTAAGAGACTTTTCCAGCCCTGCTGGAGAGGCTAAAAACGTACAGGCTGATACTCTCATTTTTTCCCCCACAGAGATGGCTGTGACATAGTAACACCTTCCCAACTGAAATAAATTCACAGCCCAAAGTTAACCAACTGTCATTAGGTCACTTACAAGACACTATTTTGTAGCACATTCTTAAGTGTCACATGCACAACTGTGTTTTCAGAAACCAAAACAGTGTTATTTTTAATTGGCTGCATGAAAACAATGATACAAATACAAGGCAGTTTTTGGTTTCACCAAAGCAACAATTATGCTACTGCATTAGAATTTAAATGATCATTGTTGGGTGACATTTAATCCATACCCAAGGAGCAACTGTTTCTTTCTGTTATTGCAACAGACTAAGCATCTTGTGCTATCTTAAGAACTGATATACTGTAGCCTAAACTTTCAGGGACTAAAGCCCATATAACACAGGAGTACAAAAGGGAAAAAACCCTGTCAACAGTAGGGCCAGAACAGGGACTTTTAGTCCTACTGTTCTACTGGGGGGGAGTCCCCCCTGAGTGCATATATCCGGCAACTGAGGATCACATATCATAAAACTGATTAAATCGGACAGCGCTGGCTCTTCGGCTTTGAAACGGAGATGAGCACTGCAACCCTAGAGTCGGATTCGACTGGCTTTCGAGCAAGGGAACCTTTACCCTTTACCTTAGCCCACAGGAGTTTCAGTCGGAATGTACCAGACAGTCTGCAAGGTGCCACCAAAAAACTTTGTTGGTTTAAATCAATGGCAATAAAGTGATCTGACTTTGAAAAAGTTGAGGGCTGTGCCTCAGAATGGAAGGAGGTCACCTCCTCCTTTGTTAAACAGGAAAATTAAGACACTTCGATAGCCAAGGACTAACTTGCTTGACGCGCATCTGAGGAGGATAGGGGGGAAAGCCACTGAACACCAAAAGGAATTGTGTTCTACTTCTTTTTGGCACAATCAATAGAACAGGTGGAATTGCCACCAATTTTTATTTCTTTTTGTGCATTTTTGCTAATCCTTCTGCTAATATGTACTTTTCTGAACAGCTACTAAGTGGTACTGAAGGACATAACAACATCATAAGTCATAACAATCTCAATCAGCTCTAGCCATAAAGAAGGCCACTGCCATGAATGCAAGTAGAAAAGATATTCCCAAATCCATGATGCCAGTCTTTTAGGTGTCTGCCCTGCAGGTAACAAGAGAGAATTTCAAATTCCCGGATACCAGTATTAAATTTCTAGAAACTCAAGAGAGCAGAATGCTTGCAATTTGTCCTGACTCTAAGCAAACATTAAATGAATCTTCATTTCTTCATATGGAAGAGTATAAACGGTTCCAAATTAAGCCCCCCCCCCAGCCAGCAACAAGTGGAAGCAGCCACTGAAGAGGAGAACAATCATGCTTGGAGTATTATCAAAAAGCCTAAATAAGAAAGGCCAGAAGAGATTCATACTGCCACACACAGGCTCTTTCATCTTTGGCTATACAGACATGTGTCACGAGGACAAGTGTTTGCAAGAGACGCACTGTACATGGAAAGCTGTGGTACTGCTGTACTTTTAGCCTAAACAGGGAACTAGAATGTTTCTGTTCTTATCATTAATACACTATTTTTTGAACTGAAAACACTGGCTTTTATTTGAGCTTCAGGGGGGAAAGAAAACTGCATTCATGTAGATCCCGAAATGATTTGCAACATGCTATTCATGGATGTCTTCTTTTAAACATGGATGCTTTCTTCCCTTTAACTTCTCTGCCATTAACATGGTATGCTAAATGGACACATTGGCAGTTTCCATTTACTTAAGCCATGCATCTAGCTACTATACTTCTTGTGCTCAGTTCTCACAAAATTGAGTTCTCTTCCACTTTGATTTTTTCTCCTTCTCTCCGACAGGCTCTGTCTATTTTTGATCTTATCCTATAACTGATTAACAGTGCAATCATAAGAACACTTTTCCCGGAGTAAGCCCCATTGAATAGACCTAAGTAGGATTCTAAGTAGACCTGTTTAGGATTGGTCTCTAAGACGTTCAATGGGAGCACTCTGAAAATAATAATGATTACTGTTCTCATCATACAGAATAATAATTAGCATGTATATATTAGAGTGACAACGATGCAGATGTATGTACATGTAAGCCTCACTGAATATAATGGGGCTTGTTTCTGAACAGACATGCATTGGCTTGCACTACAAAGCCACTCCATATAACTTTATCTTCCTGTATTCCTTATAAAAACAATGCAAGATGGACCACTTTTTATTCCCCGTATTGCAGAGGGGAGATTCAATCCCAGCACCTTCTCATGCACAGCTCAGTCTCTTGGCCAATACTCTACACTAAAAATAGCCCCATGTTAAAACAACTCACTGAATCTTTCTGCTTCTTTAGAATGAACTTTTGTTTCCACCAGCTGCTTCCATTCTTTATTTCTGTCTATTTCTCTCCCTTCATTCTCCCAGGATAAATGTATCCCTCTCAAACCTGCGCCTAGCTACTACATCAGTGGCAGGACATGAAGTTTCCCAAAGGTCTGAAGAGATGTGTTAAGTACTTGCAAGACCTAGAAACTGGGGGTCTTCCTATGCATTCTCTACATCACAGTTTCACTGGTGATTTTTAAAGCATGGCCCAGAGATCTAGATGAAGACCCAACATCCTGTCCCTTTACTGGACATGTGTCATTACTCAGTTGCTAGCTAAAATATCTTAAGCTGTGGCTTTTTCATCTTGGAGTCTGCTGGCAAGTTCACATCCCACAAGCACAGATGTAATTTTTTTTAACACATGCATAGGCAAGAAGCAGCTGTTTCCTGTCCCAAGACACATGCAATCTAGCTAAGCAGTTTTAAAATCGCTTTAAAGAGCTGTAGTCTTCTACCAATCAGAATGATTTCAATGCTAAGCCAGTTAGTGTGCAATATATACCCAGCAGAAAATGACTTAGTGCTTCACTGAATGAATATCCTACCTCTTCTGAATTCTCTGTGCTGCCATCCTTTCCACCGCTGCCACTGCTGGCTTTTGTAGTGCTTTTAGTAGACTTTGGAGGCTCCTAGAAAGAGGGGGGGGGAACAGAAAGAAAAGCACCTTGAGATGCAGGGCCCCACTGAAGAGTGAATACAATTCATGATGCTCTGAAACAGACATTATGGAAGTGAAACAGTTGAAACTGAAAAGAGGCCTCAATTCTATAAACAAATATCCATACCATGCTCCAAAAGTCAGTGCCCAAGGGACACACTCCTCCCGGCACAAAAGAGAGGTCTGCACACAGCAACACACTACTCATCCTGTAAGCAGTACCATCAGTTCTCTTGCCTTTGGAACGGGCACCTGACACTGTAAGCCCTGCCCCTTCCACACTCTGGGTGGGGAAAGCTGCGTCTCTGACTCCAACAAAGAACAAGCTACAGAGCAACTGCTCCCTGGATGGGAGTGGGCCTGCCAACACAAGCACAGTGTTATTTTAGAACAAAGTTTGCAACGCAGGCAGAAGGAGCTGAGAAACAAAGTGGAACACATTGCATTATGGTTAGCACACCCAGCTATCAGAGGGGTATGCATTTGGAAACTGGGAGGGGGGGAACCTCAGCCACACCATAGAAGATACAATGGCAAAACAAGGAATAAGAGAACTTTTCTCGGCAGAACTGTAGATAAGTGGTGCTATCCGTCCGCAAACACACAAAAGTAGTAGCGCAGTTGATTACACAAGCTTAGGTTAGTCATGTGTGCACTAAAAGGCAACTTTGCTAATGTTTCCCTGCCTTGTTACCTAGAGGAGATTCTTTACGGACCACAGGTAACCAGGCAATGACTACTTAGACTAGGCAATAACTACTCTCCCTTACAAAGGGAGAGGGGGGGAAAGGGAATGAGGGGAAATGAAAAGAGGGAAGAAAGGAGGGGAACACCCAGTGCAGGCTAAAGTATCCCTATTACATGTTAAATTATCACAGCTGAGGGAAGCAAATCACAATAAGCTTTACTGCCTGTGTTTTGCAGAAGTAGGTGGTGAACATTTGGCCTACTGAAAGACTGTCCGGGGATGATGTGGCAATGACACACTGACACATTTCATTGCCACCATGTGTTTGATACGGTATGCACAGGCTGCACCCTCAGGCCTACACATGCAAGTCAGACAGGTTATATATGTTTCATAGCAGATGAACACTGGAATGTTATACAGTGTCTCATATTAATATATGTAGCAAGCACAAATCTAAAATTCAGGCTCCTGGCATACTCCATAGGAAGCCCCTTTTTCTATGCAAATTCATATATTTCTGCTATAGGTTTTGTACATGTACCTACATATAGTACACTGTGCCTGCCTTACATTCTACTATGTGAACAGGCCCACTACTTCCGGGGTATCCTCTTTATTGTGCTAAAAGATTTTGTGCTTACTTGTACCGTAGACACTCCCGTGCTTTCTCTGTACTCTTGTAAGATTTACAAGCTTTGTGTTTTCAGCCATCCCCACAACCACATTGGAATGTCCTATCTGTCTGAGCATGCTGAAAGCAATAGCTCTGTTAAGGATTCTGCATGCATTACTTCCTACGTAAAGCCTTGTGCCCCTTCCTTCATTGCCTGCATTTGTGCATACTGGCACAGAAAGTTCTATAACCCCCACAATATGCATCTGTTTAAGACTGAAAGGAGGAACCATGGCTCAATGACAGAGCATCTGCTTGGCAGGTCTCAGGTCCAGTCCCTGGTATCTCCAGTTAAAAGGATCAGGTAATAGGTAATGTTAAAGTCCTCTTCCTGAGACCCTGGAGAGACAAGGCTAGTCTGAGTAGACAGTATTGACCTCTGATTCAGTATTAGGCAGCTTCATGTGTTCATGTATGTGTTCTACATTTATTCAGGGGTCATCTATACCAGACCTTTATCCTCCTTATATCCTTTCCAGGTGTATGAACTACCAAGGCAGTGTTCTCCTAGATGTATAAAGGCCTTCCATCTGCTCAGTATCGATGCAAGTGAGCCCAGCAGTATGCTTGCTGGGCTCATAACTTCACCCGGATCTGTTAAAATTTTCATAATACACATGATTGCATGGGGGGGGGAGTAGAAAACAGAACTTATGTACAGAAGCACAAAGAAGCAATGCTTATCTGTGAGCACACTGCACCCTATGTCAGCTGTGTCCTGAATGCCCCCCCCCCATATTTCAGGCATGCCCTAAACAGCTAGATCCTTTCTCTGCAACCAGCCCCCCCCTTCCCCCGCGCAGTATACAACGAATAGCAAGTGGACCTCTCTGCATGCTGCATGTGTACAATGTACAACCCGGCCTTGTACTGCAACCGCAGTTTCCTCCTCCACCCCACAGGTAGGTAGGTAGGTAGGTGTGTGTGTGGGGGGGGCAACATCCTCCTATGTAGGCGCAGCCACTCGCACCCTCCGTGCAAAGATCCCATAGTCGTAGCTTGCCATTTCGCCCGCGCCTAACCCAATGACACGCGTCCCTATATATGATGTGCTTTGTCTGTGCCTTCCGTGCCTGCCTGTATTGCGAACCCGAGATCTACCCCTTTGCAGGTGTGTGCACTGCCTGGCCCTTCCCCGGCGCTTCTGTGTGTGCTGCACAGGCAAGAGATCCTGCGTCGATCCCGGCCGGGCACCGGCTACTGCAAATGCCACTGCAGTTGCTGCAGCCCCCCCGAGCCCGCTTCGCCAGCCTCGGCCTCTGGGGCGCGGGTGGGGAATCTCGTCTGCAAGCGGAGGCCCCGGACTTGACTGTCGCCAGGCCCGGACAGGGTTTTTGCGCCTGGGCCGGCCTGGCGGAGGGTGGGACGGTGGGGAGAGGCCCTCGCTGGCCCCCCGCTTTTGCCCCTCACCTTCTCCTTCTTCAGCTTGTAGGGCATCCCGGATCTTCGGACTGGCTGGTTCGCTCGGCCTCTCCCGCCGGCCCGGCCTCCTCTTCACTCGGTTCTTCTCGGTTCTCCTCGACCGCCGCCTCCCTCTGCGCTGGGGCGGCTGAGCCCCCATTGGGCCTGAGCCCCCGAAACTGCCTGACAACTGCTTCGTTAGCCTCGTCTCATTGGCCGCAAGCCGCAAGGATTTTTGTCATTGGATGTCGGCCCCCTCCTGCCCTCCCTCGGAGAGGCGGGAGAGGGAGAGGCTGCCAGTTTGCAAGAAAGCACCACAATATGGGGCGGGGAAGGCGAGACGCAAAGAGAAGGGGGCCTGGTCCCCCTCTGGCCCTTGTGGGGCCGCGAGGAGACGTTGGGGTTTTCTCTCCTGGAAGTTGGGAGAAGTGTGCTTGGAATCCGGAAGGGCCCCTTTGTGAAAGAAGGAATCCACCCGTGCAGTCTTCACACGGGCCTCCTCTGTGTCATTGTCAAGGAGAAACATTAATGGAGACAACCCCTTCCGTGAAATTTACCGTGAAGCTGCTGCAAAAAAATTGACAACTGCATTGCAGATAGGATTCTTTACAAAATAAAAATAATAGAAAAATGGCACATTGTGAGAGTGACCTCCATTGATCAGTATCAGAATGCTACATTGTAATGGCCTTTCACAGATACAATGGTGAGCATAGATTTGAGGAAGATAGCCCCACTGAAGATGCTGCAGTCTATTTCTGAGCACATATGTTCAGGACTTGACACGGGGAAGCAATAATTTGGCTGGTAGGTTTTCAAATTAGGTGGAGAACTGAGAGGTGTCCATTCTGCCAACCAAGTATCAACAGAAGGGAAGAAAGGTTCTAAGCAGGAGAATGTCATTCCATTACTCTGCTTTCCTTTACTTACTTATTGTCATGTTTTAGGAGGCTGGTTTTTTCCCCTTTGTCCTCATTTGGCATCACTGTTCTCACTTCTTTTCTGCCAATTTCAAATCATTGTTTGGGAATCAAAACTGACAAATCTCCCTTCTTGCCAAGACTAAGCAAGATGTTACAGAGCAGTAGCAGATGAAGCACACAGGGGAATGCATACAAGAAGCTATGGAGATAGTCCATCAGGGCAGGCTACAGAATATCTGGGTGTAAATGGTGATGGCAGCAGTCCATGACTAAGTATTGTATATAAGAGTGCAATCCTATGCAGAGTTATTCCAGTTTAAATCCCCTGAAGTCAATGAGCTTCGAATGGAATAAATCTGCATTATAAATCTGCCCTATAAATGTCCTTAAATACTTGGATACATACTTAGCATTATTCTTGGTATTCAGAACAAACTGGTTGCAACTCCTTGATCTGACTAGGGAAAGAAAAGAATTCAGTAACATGGAGCCTAATGAAGAATTCTGAAGACCTTGAACACTTGCATACTGTGCTGTGTTATGTTAATATTAATAATATTTAGGGTTACTAACCTCCAGGTGGTGGCTGGATATCTCACAGGATTACAACTGATCTCCAGGTGACAGAGATCAGTTCAGCTGGAGAAAACAGGCATTTTGGAAGGTGGACTCTATGGCACTAGACCCTGCTGAAGTCTCTCTCCTACCTAAACCCCGCCCTCCTCAGTCTCCGCCCCCAAAATCTCCAGACATTTCCCATCCTAATAATGTTAAAGGTATTCCATGCTGATGGTTTTTGAACAATATTTAAAATATTACGTGTTTTAAATTTCTCTCATGCTCACATGGAAATCTTTTCCATGCATGCATTTTCTTTGTGTTCAAGACCCAACACTTCTGAAGATGCCTCCGAGGTCCCTTATTGTAATATAATACTTGGCAACAGTTCAGTTGCTGTTTAAAAAACAACTACCCCTCAAACACAAGCCTAAATTTCAAGCAAAGCCAGTGCTCCTAATCTAAAATCCAAAATACTGATATGATCTTCCCATGTGACTCTGCCCAAAGAGTGGCTACCGCAACTTTAAAATTCTTTTTTACAAAAGGCAATTCTCACATACCATATCCACTGAAAGTCTTTTAAGGGCAATGTGGTACTCCAGCTTATGTATGATTCACAGCAGGGCTATTTTTGGGCAGGAACGCAAAGGAACGGAGTTCCTGCTGGCTCCCAATTTTGCCACGCCCAGCAGGAACTCATTAGCATAATAGGCCACACCCAACAGCAGGAACTCATTAGGATTGGCTACATTAGGGGTGTGTGGCCTTACATGCAAAGGAGTTCCTGCTACAAAAAAGCCCTGGGTTTTGACAACAAACAAGGTAAACAGAATAAGAAGCAAAAGGTGGGTGTGGCTGGATGAGCACACTTCTGGTAACATGGAGGTGTGGCCTAATATGCCAATGAGTTGCACTGTCAGAGGTGTGGCCTAATATGCTAATGAGTTCCTGCTGGGCTTTTTCTACAAAAAAAGCCCTGGTTCACAGACATGTCTGTACAATGATTACCAGAAACTAGAAGCAATCCAGTCCAAATTCCCTAGATCCGGGCCCTGCGGGACCTTGCACAGTTCCGCAGGGCCTGCAAGATGGAGCTCTTCCACCAGGCGTTTGAGTAGGAGCCGCCACGACTGTTACCATCTGTCCTAGCCCTTATTACCAACTTGCCGTGAGTGCAAAAATGGTGGTACTGCGTGGAGCTGTGGCCACTAAGGATACCATCCTGGTGACATCGGTTCCCTTGTTAGTTGTTGTGGAGAGCACTTATGTTGCACTTAATGTTTTTAAAATGCAGTTTTAATGTTTTATGTATTGGGCATTGGCCCCATCTGTACGCCGCCCTGAGGGAGGGCGGGTTATAAATTTAAATAAATAAATAAATCCTTATTTGGAGTACCTTGTTGTGTTCCCTATGCTCTGCTTATGCTAGAAGCAGGGTTGGTTCCACTAGTATATGCCCGGTTTCCAGCTGTATGCTCCTGGCTCACGTTAAATTCCCCCCCCCCCCATTAAGTCCCTTAATCTTTTCAGAAAATTTTCACTCAAGGTGGGTGAGAGCATTAGAGAACAAGGTGTAACTATTTGGTTTATCCTGTACAGCCTTACTGCTTCTTGGGTTTTCAGGAGCCAGTGCACTAGTCACAGACTATGAGGCACTACCCTTCAAATTGACAGATCAGGGGCCCACTCTGTAACTGTAACAAAACTGTTACAAAACAGAAGTAGGGCACTGTAACCAGGGCTTTTTTTGTAGAAAAAGCCCATCAGGAACTCATTAACATAACAGGCCACACCCAACAGCAGAAACTCATTAGCATATTATACCACGCCCCGGACAGTGCAGCACATTAGCATATTAGGCCACACCCCCATGCCTTCCCTTGGCTTTCCTGGGCGCCCTGCAGCTGCGGGGAGCCTGGACAAGCCGGCCCTTGGACAGGCCAGGGAAGGCACGGGGAAGCATTTAAATGTCTCCCCGATCCTTCCAGGGCCCCCCCCCGGCCCGCCCACCTTGGAGTCACCGGGGGGGGGCACTCTCCAGGCCTTCCCTCTGTAGCCGCGCACGCAGAGGTTTTGGCTGTAGTGGGCGTGGCCAACTCTGAAGTCCATTCCTGCCCAAAAATAGCCCTAGACTGTAACAAAACGTTTCTTCCATCAAATTACCTTTATATATTAGAATTCCCTAAACATCGCAGAGCCTTCACTCTGGCCCATTTCAATGTCCTCTCATCTGCCCCTCTTGAAGGGAGATATGTACGTACCCCATATGTACAATGTCTCTGCCCATGTCAGTCTGGAATGGTAGAAACAAGCAAACACGTCCTCTTATTTTTCCAATTTTACAAGGACACTTGGAATATGTACATTACCCTAATACTGTTCAAATATCCAGGTAAATCAAATGATTTTTATACTTCTAGCCAACCGTTTTAATGAAACTACTCTTAAGGTAGCAAGATACTGCATTCTGGCATGCTCAATATGGCAGAAGAGCATGGACTAGTATTTTAATAATTTTATTATTACAATTAATTTGTATATTTTCTTTACAGAATATCTATTTTATGCATCCAATGTGTATTATGTATTGTTGATATTCTCGACTGCTGATCTTGGATCGTAATAACAATAAACTAAAACTACTGATATGCTCATGCTGTTGCTCAAATTTTAAGATCTGTTTTAGACATGAATTTATATTTATTCCACCTTGTTGGCAGAGTAATTAACACAGCAACGGTACACAACCTGATTAAAGAGTAGATAAAGGTTAATTTAGGAACTAACATACTTGATAGGAAAGAGGAGAGACAAAGATAGGCTGAGAGAGCGGGGAGACTGAGAAGAAGGTGAAATTGCCCTAAGAGTAGCAGTCCAGAGACAGACAAGGAATGACAGCAGGAGAGAGAACGTGCTGTCTTCACTACCCTATCTAATTGTCTTCTTGCTGCACCCTTCAGGGTTTTCTTCTCTTTGTACACCAGATACTGCCTTTTCCAGCACAGCTTTCCATTGATCCATTTCTTTGCTCTCCCACTGTCCACATTTACATTACAAGCCTCTTGGGGCAGATAATTGACCTTTATACTACAAAACACCTCTTATGTACGCGAACCGCCACCGGGGGCCCGTGGCTAGAGTAGGAGCTTAGTTCTTTTAAACAATAGGAACCTAGGATCCTAGTTCCCCCAGCATTCACCAATAGCAGCTTTGGTGGGAAATTCAAACCCTCCAAGGGGACTGTGGGTGTGCTGGGTGGGTGTATATATAGTTGGCCTTGCAGGGCCGTTTTTCAGTTCCAATGTGAAGTACAATAAACATGTGCAAATGCATGTTGTTGTCCGAGTCCTCCATGCGGTGAATCCAGTACTTTTCAACACCATGTGGATTTTTGGTGCAGTAGTAAAAATAGTTTGTCATCTGTTTATGAGATGGTAGGCTTCTTTAAAAAAATATAAACTCACGGAGGGTGTACATAAAAATGTACACAGTGCAATCCTATGCAGAGCTACCCCAGCCAGAATGACCTCTTGCGAGAGGTGGAATTTGCCCCTATGAGTCCAGGGCCACCACCCCGGGGCTCAGGGAGGTGGGGAACGTTTCCCCACACACACCGTGTCCCAACTGATG